CTATAGATCTACCTGTTGAGCCACTCGTGATCGACAAGTTATACCGCAAATTAGTTCAAATCTCCCGGAATCTAGAGCGAGCGCGCACGCGAGACAGAGACTGTGCTCCAACGCGCGCGGACGGCAGAGAGAGAAAGCGAGCGAGAGACCTTGCGTGTGCAGGGAGCATCGAACCCCCCATCGAAAAAAGAATGCCTCTCTCTAACCTCTCTAATTCGCTAGAGTAGTAGCGAATTATCAATCTGGTAGCTAGTAAACGATATTCTAGTTTTTGATGGTTAGCTATCGCTAGTATTCTCGTTCTGATTTGAACTTTGCAATCGATGAAATGCAAATAGCAAATGTTTGACCTAAAAAGTGTAGTCTACTCAACATGTACAAAGAAAGGAGGAAGATTATTAATAAAATCATATTTTAGGATACCTAACATGTCTGTGATATTTGTTTATTTGTCTTGCCTCAAGCTATAATGCAAATCGATTTGTAAAATTTGCAGATTCATTTATGGTAGCTTGATATTATAATATTGACGATATATGGTTATTATCAACCACTCAAACATTGCATTGAAGTATCATATAGATCCAGTAAAACGGTAACCAATAGACTAGGCTACTATAATGACGCTGGCTTGTAAACGTGAGCATCGCGATCATTTGTCGTTAGAAAAAAAAATAAAACCCATGAAATTATATTCATATGACATGCTGAAATATATGCCACTGTACCTGGGATGAAGACATTTCACACGCGACGCAAGCAGAACACCTGCATGTGACCTCCTCCTACAGTGTTCAGGGCTATCCTGGTTGTCAACAATTGCACGTGCATGTAGGATGACAGAGTTTACGACAGTAGTAGAGGACAATACTGTTTCCCAACTGTAGGGGGAGCCCGAGAGCAAAAAACTACCTGTTGTTACTTTAAATATGATGGTTTCATTATAAATATGACGATTATCGCTAAAGTGGACACCGAACTTAATACATGATATTTACCATTTGAATCTAACTGTCATGTCAACAAATGGAAAATCCGCCAGCTATTTATTATCATGTCAATTAGCGTGCCTTTTACCCCAAGTAGCTACCATACTTTTTCAAATGATCCCCTTATTGAAAAACTGTTGCTTTGATTACCTTGAACAAAACTCAAAATCATTAACAAGACCTTTGTCTCAAAATATAGTCAATAATTGTATCGATTCTCCTTTGCTACATAAATCTGCAACATTTTTAAAAACATTAAATATTAGATCAAATTAGCGCAGAATCAACTTTGATTGCTGTTCGCGATCAGTCAAATGTCCACGTGCATCATCAAAAGCAGTTGTTAAGAAAAGGGCTGAGATGAATTTTTGTGCCATCTAGTGATTTAAAAGAGAAAAAAGTCAAATGCGCCTTTTACCCCAGTGCGCCTTTAGCCCCATTTTACCCTACATGCTTTATACAAATAATGTAATTTTGATGTAGTTTAACTGTCCACACTAAAATGGCTGCTGGGTAAATAACTGAAGCTGTTTTATGCAGATCAAGAGCTTAAGAGAATCTACTTTTTCACGTGATCATGAATATTACTCTAAATTTAGTAGCCCGAGAGTCTGTGTTTGAAATATTTCTGTCAACAGTTCAACAGAAGTGTAACAGGTGATTTTCCCTTAATATTTTGTTAAATTGGTAAAATGCACTTGATGTTCTCTCTCCCTGTTTTTCTTTTGTTTTCCTCTCTGTGCTACCAGCCGCTAGCCTAGAAATCTAGACGCACCCTAGCGGCAGCAAAAATTATTTTGCAGCAAAGTGTGGTCTAGCAACTCTCCGTTGGCTTTTCGAGCTGGAAAAACCAAACCCTGGTCAGGCCAATCACATTGTGTATAGAGTTGGTGGGCGGGCTTAACAATGACGGCAGAGATGTGACGGTTCCGCGTGATTTCCATTGGTGATTTCCCTGCTAGCGTTACTTGAAAACAAAGAAGATGCTGCTGGCGAACAGCGGTCTTTCGAATCGGATTTGGCCGCGAGTCTGGAGGACTTGGAGTTAAGAGAACGTAACAAGTCATTCTTAAAAAAGGAAGGTGTGTTCGGAGTTTTGACGATCGGATACGGCAAAAGTTTAATATATCAACTAGTTCCGCTGGTGGAAAAACATATGGGACTCACACAGCCACAGCCGTTCGTTGCTCTGGTTGGTTGTAGCGCTGCCATATTGCGTGCCGAGGGATATTGAAAGACAACCGTTTATCCCGCCCCTCGGATTGAGGTGTGCCAATTGTGAGTTCCCAGACCTAACATCTTGATGTAGGTCTGGCTTGCCAGGCTAACCAGCCGCATGAGCAGCAGTGCTTAATGCACACGACTTTCCACTTTTTTTCAACGCAAGCCATTTGACATCTTTAAAAATACACAGTGTCATTGATTTTCTGACGTCTTCCTCTGTGTTTTTTTTTTTAAAAGAGAGCCTAAAAATGCTACAAACAGAAGCGCCAAGAAAAGATTCTTGGAGTGCTGAGCTCAGTTGGGTGTTAAATTATTAAGTCAGTCCAGTGAGTTGGTCCAAGACAAGACAGAACTGAAGCAAGATGCTTGAATCTTCCAGTCTCTCTTTCTCTCATCCTTTTTTTCATCTGAGACTCATTTGAGAAGAACAAAGCCTCTATTTATGTGTTGAGGCACACACTGCTAATGCACCATTATGAGGCACTCACGTCCTTTTCCTGGGCTTTCAGGACTTTGCCGTATCGCCGAAGACACTTTTTACTGTCTTTCTCTCCACGCTACACCTCGACCCCTGTCTTTTTTCCCCCTCTAATGTGTTCTCTCACATTCTGCCCCTGCGTTTCACCTCTGCTTCTTCCTCGATTTTTTGATGTGATGGTACAGGCTCCCGTTTCAATCACTGGAGAGGTTTTACAAATAAGGTAAATGAGTTGAAATTGCCTGAAGGATGGTCGTAGGGGCCGGTAAGCAGCATGGTCGATGTTTCCATGCGTGCTCTGACTCCATAAGCGTTTGAGGATGTTTTAAGCAGTGCTGAGGCTGTAGGACCATGCCAATGCTAATGACCTTCAGTCACTGTTACACATATAAATCCTGCATGATGGATGGACACGAAATGGCTTAGTGATTTGAAAAACGGTGTTGTTAAATGTAGATTAGTTTGTTAGCTTAACCCTCAATTGTTCATTCCCATACATACATATAGAGCCCCGGCAAACTTCTAGTGATAAATTTGCACATTTTTCAAATGCAAATGAGCTTTGTGGTATATTGTTGCAACATAATGTATCAAGTGAAACAGAATATTTAATGCAGGGGGAATAAAGGGGGGAAATGTAGGACAGTGTTTTATCCATTTGGAAATTACTGGATTGTGAAAAATGTTCTCTTTATTATATTTTATATATTTATATAAATATAAAAAAAATATTAAAAAAAATTTGGTTTTACCCTGTATTTATCTGGATGTTGTAAAGCGACCTTGAGCTTAGAAAAGTGCTATATTAATTAAAAATGTTATTGTCCTTTTATTTTATTTCATTTTTGTTCAAATAAATGCAGCCTTGGTGAACATAAAATACTTATTAAAAAAAAAAAAAAAAATTACAAATCGTATCGACCCCAAACTTTTAACTAGTAGGCCTAGTATGTAATAAAAAAATAAAATTATTAATAAGGTAAATGGACTCATTCTCAAAGGGCTGTTCTGATACAATCACACCATATATATCTTGATTCTTTGCACATTTTTTAACACATATGTATGTGTGATTCACATCTTGCAGTGTAGTCTGAACATCGAAACTAACAACACAGATTTGCTCTCATTTTCCCCCAATTATGAACTCGTGATCCATCACATTGTATTGAATTGAACATATGTATCATGATATGTGTTGAGATTCCTCACAATCTCACTTTCAACAGCATCAAAATAAAACAAGTAATCTACTTTAAGGTTTACAGAGGCTGCTTCTTCCACTCACCACCCAGGGCATTAAAAATGGCCCTCACCCTCAGGCTAGAGTGCTCCCTCACCAAACAGAGCATCAGCACCCACTTTTAACCTGCCAAGTGTGAGATACACACAGGCTCTGTCTCTCACAGAGTTCTTTATCTCGCCCGTGGTGGGAAAGGTTCTCGGCAGAAGAGCGTGCTGATAATTTCAACCACCATGACTGATGGATTTTTTTTTATTCAGTCTCTTACCCAAATCCCTTTGCTGCTTCAATCTCGAAGGCATTGTCAGGCAGTTAACCGCCTATTTATGCTTGAAAGTGAATGAGAGTGTATACAAAAGCGATTAATTATTTACTTCATCTAAAAAAAAAAAAGAGGATAAAACTGTCAGGTTTGCTTTTATCGCTGTTGTGCCGCTAGTCAGTTGTCGAACATGCTAACACTTCAGCGACAACCGCTTTCACTTCAGCGACAAACGCTTTCACACTTGGAAGACACTCTTGATGCTTTTTGATTTGCCGTGTGGCGCCCGTCAATTGATCAGTGCTGGGTGCGATTCCTTATTCACGAGGAGATTGCTTTGGATATTCCAATAACAGCGAAGGAAATGTCAGTCGTTCCTTCCTGCCCTTATCACAGATTGATGAGGAAAACAGCCTCTCCTCTCAGCTTTGTCAATCAGAAACCCATGTGAATACTACAGATACGCCAAAGCAGTCACGCAGCTGGACTCTTGTCCAAACACAAATGTCAATGGACAGTCTGCGCTACATCAAAAATGACGGTGTGGCCCTCAAGGGACAAAGTTGGCATGGTGTGTCCGCCCCCTAGTGGAACCTATTGGCATGGAAAATAGTATCAAATCCACTGTATTATTCAGCTGATTATTTTTTCCATTGGACCTCTGTAGACTTCGACGAAGCTACGTTTCAGTTAGTGTTTGTTTGTGGTGCATAATGAATGTTGTTTTTCAGAACGACAGCTTTCTGGCTGAATCGATGTTCCTGAATGCATCAATGTCTCATAATCTGTTGTTTCTTTCTGCAGTTGTGTGGCTGTGGGCTGCTGGGAGTTGGAATCTGGCTGTCTGTGTCTCAAGGCAGCTTCGCCACCTTCTCCCCCTCCTTCCCTTCCCTCTCTGCTGCCAACATGGTCATCGCCATAGGCGCCATCGTCATGGTGACCGGCTTCCTCGGATGCCTGGGCGCCATCAAGGAAAACAAGTGCCTGCTTCTGAGCGTGAGTTATGCCACACCTACACACTTTTACATTCCCGAAGTGTAAAAACACTCTACCAGACCTGTTGCACGTAGAAAAAAAGTATAATGCATTCATTTTAGGTATTCTCAATGCATTAAAAATAGTATACTTTATAATCAATTGCATGCTCTTGTGAATAATTTCAACCACAATAATAGTATGCATTGTAATAACGTTTCATAGTTATGTGTTAGTGTGCAATGCATAATAAATTGCATTAAAGCACATTAAGTAGATAATATGAGGTATGAATAAAATCATTCTGCGTTATACAACTATTTTTGTAAAATGCACACTAATCTGTATTTTCGACTGTTTTCCCAGTCAATTTACAATGACTGTGCTAGTTTCATGTCTCTTGTATTGGTCTGCCGTCTCTCACATAAAACAATCATTTCAGCAAAATTAACATTTCATGTCCTTTTATTTATTTATTCAGCGAGTAGCCGTGTAAAAAGCGGGATATTGTACAGCCGGATAGTCATTATCCCAAAATAAGCCCTGTCAGGATGTGAAGTGGACCATATTATGCCTTATGAATACTTTTTATAATGTATTACATACAGGCTTAAAGTAAACTGTTACCAGAGAGGTTTGTTAATTATCTGCATTGCCAAATAAGTCTCCTCATCGCACTCAAGGCTTTCAGTTCAGAACAAGAGTTAAACCACATGCCTCTCTATTTCCCCCCTCTGTCTTTGTTCTTTCTTTTTTACTTTACTCTCATTCTCACTTTCTCTCTTCCCAACACCACCGATCATTCTGCTAATGGGGTTAGACACACAGTCTAATTGAATAAGGTTGTCACTCGCCATGCTTTTCTGTAATTTAGAGGAATGAATAATGTATCTGTGACAATGTCATTTTGTTTTGTTTTGGGACATTGAATACTGTGTTTTCTGCTTGTGGACTTCCACAAATGATTTAAAATGAGCATCAATTTGTTCATGATTTTATTTACTGTAATTAAAGGCACAATATGTAAGATTTTTACATTTAATTAAAACATCCAAAATTCCACTAGCACAGTGTTATACAGTTTGGTCACTTGTGTTCTTACATTTTCCCAAATGTTTCCAAAAATGTTTAAATCCAGACAAATTCACAATTTTAACCAGTGTAACGGTCCCTCCTCATTGCGTCGCCTGTCAATGGCGTCATGTCCGTGTTATCTTCTTTTTCCACTTTTACTGCTGTAGAAACCTTGGCAACACAGTGAGTCTCATGAAAGAAATATGGAAGTAGTAGTTGTAGCATCTAGCAAGCCACTCTGTTGTTGTTCCGCACAGTAGTCATGGACCACAATTATTCGTTAGCGTTACAGCAGGTTCTGTCGCCAGAAGATATCTCCAAGAAACGTAAACGTACGGGTGAATCAAATGACCCCAGACGAGTTTTGGACAAGAGGAGAAATAAAACGAGGATCAATTTCGGTGTCTGTTTGACAAGTCTGGTGAACAAGTGTATGGCAGTGTAATTAAATACAGTACTGCAAATGCAAGTTCGTTCAAATGTACTTTTAGGATGAATGTTTTGAACATGTAAAACTGCGCTGCGTTACCCCACCATTTAATTTGACAAATAAAGTGGCATGTATGAGTAGTAATTTAGCATTTAAACATTGTTACTTGCAATTAATTCAATAGAATTCAATAGGGTGTATTTCATTACCTCATCCATGAACATGATTTTTGAGTCCCGTCGGATTGATTTCCATCGGAAGTGGAGGTGAAGACGACAACTCCCATCATCCCACACTCCTTCACAGTGTCATCAAGCTACACTTTTGTTATGGTTTTGAATATGCGACGTACACTAGTTGCGAAAATTGCACACTGTGCCTTTAACTGTAATTAAAAAAATAATAATGTTTCATTCAGTTCAAGTGAAGGAAGAGACGCTTAGAGAATTCATAACTTAGTCAAGCCCAGAATCATCACCACCATTCCTCCTTATCATTCCTTTTTAATGTCAATCTCCAGTTCTGACGGTTCCCTAAATGCCTATTAGATAGGACCGGTGTAATTTCGAATGGCCTGACCTTTAGATTTTGCTATCTGTGCTGTATATACGCTGTGTCCCCAGCTCTGAGGGAGACTGAGACATCAGAGAAAGGTTTTCACGTCTTTGGGTTTGAGATCTAAGCAGCCGGCCCCATGTTTCTGGAAGTGGTGCAGCGCTCTCTTCCCCCAGAGGTCTAGGAAGGAAGAACCTTCAAAGCTTTTGCAGTCTTCACATCCATTTCTTCAACTTTGCCCTATTTACATACCCCATATGTCCCAGACCAGTGAGTAAAGTCATGGCAGAGCAGACATATACACAGATTGTCATTCAGCGGTTGGCGAGGCCACACGTAGACAACCCAATCGCTCTCGTAGGGAACTTATTTTGCAGACCTGTCAATGTCGAGGTTCAATAAACAAGTGTCGTAAAGGCTTTCAGATGGCCCGAATCTGCTTTTCAGATGGACTTTGACAGGAACGGTCATCAGGGGATGACTGGAAAGTGTATCAAGCACTCAGCGAAATAATGTTTACTGGCTGACAGGCGCATGCTGTGTGGAAGGCTGTGTAAATATTTAGCTGAAGAAGTGAAATAGAATGAGAGGGAGAGAGCGAGTATAGAAAGCCAAGATGATTCATTCAGACAGGTCTTTCCCTGTGTGTATCTCTCTCAATCGTATCACTAACTTCTTTTTTGTGTATTTTCTTCCTGCAGTTCTTCATTGTCTTGCTGATTATTCTGTTGGCTGAGCTGATTTTGCTCATTCTTTTCTTCGTCTACTCTGATAAGGTAAGCCTGTTCACCAATTATATATTCTGGAAATGATTTTACTGTATTTCCTCACAAATCGAATCTCTAATTAGTGGTGATTTCTTAGGCTTTGATTTTGCATGGTCGACAAAAATTCCCATTGAATTGCTTATCCCTACCAGGTGCAATGTAAACCATCAAACAATTAAAATCACTTCTATGTAAATCTGGCTTTTTGTCCTAAGAAAATGAGTAGCAGAACATTTTGGGTTGCGTTGAGTAGCCACACCCACATGAAATCGTATTGGTCCAGAATCCCTTTCCACATAGCTGTATATCAATCATCAATTATTGATTCGGTAAACGCGTTGTCATTGTAGTTTATGCGCATGTCTCTTACATAACAAAAGAAAGGATCCACCTCTAGTGAAAGGAGACATTTTTTATGTATTTTAATGAAATTTTGTTGTTTCTGTCAACCATTTTTAAATGGTGAAGTACATGGTACCATTATCAAGTAAACTGTTGAATGCTTTTCCCATTTCCCAGCTAAATAAGGTCAGCGGGCTCTTTATAGAACAGCCGCCTCTCTTGTCTTTGGCAGTGCAGGTTAAGAGTTTTCATCACCAGGCGAGCTCTCAAAGGTCAGAGGTCACCACACACAACAAGGCCTAATCCCGGCCAGTTGTCACCAAGTAATTGGCGCTGAGCTCTTTCTCGGTCAATCCTTCCACCTGCCGCAGTGGTCAGGCTCTTTCTCATGGCCTTCAACTGGAAGTGATACTGTGCCAACTGGAATGTCTAAAACAGGGCAATCTGACCTTTTAACACCATGCAGATCCTAGCGGATTGCTACCCACCCAGAGCGTGCAGAGGTCCTGTTTCCTCTTTGATGAAGTCACAAGTGTCACCAAACATATGCTTCAGATGGTGCACTGCACAGTCTCCTTTTCAAGGACGCTTCCCAAAAGTACGGCAGGATGCTAGGAGGTGTTAAATCCCGTCAAGGATTTCTGGGTGGTTCATTATTCACTCCGTTTGCCATGCTCTCTGTGGAAGCTAAAGTAATTCACTTACCCACAATCCGTTTAGAGATTAGGATCTGCCTATCTCCAATGTACGAGGACTGCCTGGTTGTCTTATCTGAGCGTGTAACTTACACTCAATCGTAGACCGCAAACCGAGACTGCGTTTTAGTAGCAAAATGAACGGCACATTTTTTCAAGCACAAGAATTCTCTGCTTGCTCCTGTCTGTATTGAGTTTGTTTCTGCAAGCACACGTCTTTTCTATCTCTATATTGTGTGCAGACTCAAGGTTGTACCTTCGTATGAAGTAAGCTGGACTGAAAGCAGTGTTCCCAACATGTATTAGTCTTTATAGACCATTCTGAGACCTTCTCAGCCATGTATTGATGTTGTTCGCACAACCGATATAAGATACCACTATGACCTTTAACACACTGTGATGAGGGAAATACTTCAGAGAGAAGAAAGGGAAGATGAGAAATAGAGATCTGTATCAACTGCACAGGGTTGTGAGCACGTCTCTTTCATTTCTCCACCACATGAACTGGGCAGCAGGGGTACTCCCGTCACTCAAAAACCTGCCACTCCGTTCGCACAGAATGGCATGAGCGATCAGAGGAATGTTTAATTGACTCCAATATTTAATCTCCAAATCACAAGGCAGTCATTATCACATCTAAGGAAAAAAGTCATGCTGGCAATGTATGAAGGCACTCTTATTTTGTACAAACCACAGACAAAATGTTAAAACCGAACACTTTGCTCAGGTAACATATATATATATATATATATAAAATATATATATATAATATTAATAATATTACATTTATCAGAACTAAGTGACAGTAAAGACTTTTTCATTGTTACAAAAAGCATATATTTCAAATAAATTCTGTACTTTTGACCTTTGAAATCAGAGAATCCCAAAAACTGTCTTCCACATACTGTAAATATTAAGCAGCAAAAGTGTTCTTCAACTGTTTCATGAGAATAAGAAATATAGTTTGTGACTCTGAGATATATATATACATATATATGCTGTAGTGTGTGTGTGAGAGAGAATGTATAAATATCCCACACAAATGTATTAAATGTCAAATTTACAAAATTCCAATCTATCTGTATTTTTCTAGATTGATAATTGGAGAGATAAGAGGTAAAGTTTCAGTAGTGATGTTTTTGCCCTCCTCAATCTTAAACTCAGCAAGATGCTTCCCTCCTGCTGGTATGTTGGAGAAACAAAGGTATAGTAGGTCTTCACCTCTGAGTGTACATGAACGCTGTGGATTAAAGCACACACGTGGGCCCTCCAATGACCCACCATCTGACTGCAGCAGATGGCGAAGGCTAGGCACTAGATTAGAGCATCCGTCTTTACGCCCATGACCTCATTCCAGCGTGTGTGCCGCAGGACGGCGGCCAAATGAAGCCATATTAGCTGGTTTGAAAAGGGGGAAGCACAGTAGCGTGATTTTTCGGATAGGCTTACAGAGACGGATGACGAGCATTACCGCACACTTTCGCCTCCTCAGCTGTGGTTACGGTTTAATCCATAGATGACTAACATTTTTTAGCCTCTAATGTTGTGCCATTACATGAGTAAAACTGACACAATTAGGGATGCTCTAAAAACGAATTGTGACCAACATGTGCAGAGGATGGGTTGAGGCTATTTTTGATGAGAAGTAAAACTCCAGGTACCATTTTAAAGGTCCCCAAACTCGTATCATAATTTAGTCGCACAAAACACTGGTGTTCATTGTGTTTCCTGTTATTTTCAAGCTGATTCTGGGAGTGTTAAGCTGTGATCTCATGTGATTTTGGCTCTGAATTAAACCAATTTACTTGCGGTAAACAAATCAACACAGAATGTTGCTTGTGTTAAAATGATTTACATCAGGCTTGACTATATAAACAGTCATTTTCCACTTCTGGAGCTTAAAGTTGCAAATGTGTCCTGTAAAGTGCCTGATCAGGTGAGGTGGTCAGCCAGGGTTTCTAAGGACTCCATGCCAGGTTTCAAAGCACCTGATGGTGTGACAGTAGGTCCCACACTGCGCGTATCTTGCCAGCTCACAGCATGACCAGACTTTCCCTTGCTGATCAAGAGTCTGGCCCATCATCTGGGCTGGAAATTACCGTCTCATGACAGGCACTTAGACAGAGAAGCTCTTATTTGAGATAATGGAACATTATTTCTAAAGTGCATGTGTTTGTTAATGGTATAGGTCATCCTAGAATGAAAATTCAGTGAAGTCATACAATAGGTTGTACTGGGCACTGACATGAACCGGTATACCAGTTTCAATTTCGCAAACAATATGTATTTTTCAAATACTGCCATGGCTGAAACAATTGCTGCATCTATTCAATGGCCACGAAGAGCGCTATGTAGAGTGTATTGAGAGGAGACCTCTATTACCTGCATACCTATCTTACTAATGCTTAAAACGTTATAACACAATAAATAAGTCACACAACTAACTCTCTTTAACATGGTAAATACCATGTAGAGCCCTATGATTTCTGTGATATAGAAGATCCAGAGAGAATCACAGAATCCAGTCACAAATGGAACTTACTGTATAAAGCTGAATGTCACAGAATTTTTGGAAGAATAAATCAAAAGTAGGGCTGTGCAGTGAATCAAATTGCGATATGGACTATAGTGTGTGTAAATTATCAAAGCTCAAAAAGACTGCTATTGAAATCTTAAGTATGCATGTTCTGCGTGTCAGCCTAAATCAGGTAGACATATAATAAACATAATCTAACTAACATTAATAATTAATTTACGTCTGAATGTTGCAGGGATAAGTAACAATCAAAGTAGTGACGCTTGTGTGATTTCCAGCATCTGCTGTCTCACTATTTGAGAACATGAACACATGAACTGCTCTAAGAGTTAACTTCACGAGCATCGTATACACATGGAAACTCAAAGGTCTTTACAACAGCCCGTCAAAAATAAATGTTCGATTTAACTTGAAATTAAATCCAAAATATATTACCATTGCACAGTATTACTTATTCGAGTAGTAGTAGAAGTAGTGATGATGATGATGATGATAATAATGCAGTTTATTAAAACAGAACTCAAAGGTCTTCATTACAACCTGACAAAATAAAAGTTTGGTCTAACTTGAAAAAATTATGAAAGAAATATATTACCATTGCACAGCAAAATGTCCTGTAATGTAAGTAGTAGTAGTAGTAGTAATAATAATACAATTTATTAAAGAAATGTAAGTAATATCACACAAGTTTTTTACGTTTTAATTTAACCGGTAAACTTGGCCAAAATAAAACGAATTATTTAATTTTCATTTGATTACATTTGTTAAATTGTTAGTTTTATAAATTGAGTTATTTTTATGTTACAAAATTGAGTAAATTTTCTATGTGACATTACAATGTTTGTATATTCTTTTTGCTCCTGACAGTAAAATAAGCCACTATAAATGTATATAAAGGTCCAGCTATTAAAAGAAAACAAAAAATACATTGATGTGATACCAACCACCAGAATTTTACATTTTAAATTATGTACTGGTCTTTCTTTTTCATGTCAAACATTAAATGAGGATGCAAAAAAATAATAAAAATAACCATAAACGACCTATATGACTTGCATGCTATATACCAAGTCTTCTGTAGTCATAAAAAGGTTTTTTGGGTGTTGAACACTGATATTATTCACTGATATAATCTTCCCACCCTCTGACTGCTACTACAAGAGAATCATTGAGTCAGTGAGTTTAACTCGAGAACCGAAACCATTTGATTAATGAACAAATCATTCAGACCCTTTGGAACTTATCTAACTCATTTCTCACATGAACTCTTATGAAATTATTATGAGGAGAGTCAATCAATGAATCACACCAACATATTGTATGACTTCAGAAGACTTAGAAAACAGTCATATTGACCAATTTTATAACATCTTCCTTTTTTTTTGGTTGAACTATCCCTCTTGGTTAGGATTTAGGTGTGTGTGTTTGCATTCTGT